CCTCCCCCCCCCAAATGTGTGCCAGGTGGGGGCGGGCTGCCTGTTGAGGGCTCAGCTACTGCCTTCTGTGGGTGTCAGCTGGGCTTGGACAGGGCCCAGGCTGCAGGAGTCACAATCCACAGTCCACAGCTGCCAGGGTCCACAGCTGCCAGGGCTGTGGACCCGGGTCCCTGGTCTCAGCCCTGGCAGCTGGGGGCCCTGTCCAACAGGGCTGTGGGTGGGGAGTGAGGGGCCTGGACCTGTGTCCCAGGGAGCTCTGATTTTTCCATGATAAAAAACCTAAAATCAAATACCAAATTCATAGGCACTTAAAATGTATCTTTAGTATAGTGATTGAGGCATTGGTAGGCTTCCAAATTGATTTAAAATTGTAAATATACCAATAAAACATTGTGTTCAATTAATACCTATATATATATAGTCGTGTTTCATTTTAATCTTGGATTTTGGGGGTTTTAATCAGAGAATTTGGGCGTGCTGGGGGGGAGGGGAGGGTTGTGTGCATTTAAATTGGTGAACTTGTGATTTTTGAACAGAGAAAACCAGGATCCCTCGTGATGAAAGTGTAGCAAATACAGTTGTTTTCTAGCTGGCACAAATTGTTGAATGTATATTTAAAGGGAAAAAAAAGACAAGTCAGACTTCCTTTGAAATGTTGTTATAGAGCTAAAAAAAGATGGTAAGTGACGAAATTGTCCTCAGCGAACCCGAACTGATGTTTTGCAATGATGTTGTCAATATGGAAATAGGAGAAAAGATAGAATTTATATATTTGACCTAAGAAGGAAGAGAAAAGACTGATCATGCAGTAATTTACTCTCCTTGTGGCGGAAATGTTGTATGAAGAGAGAACTTTTCAGGAAAATGTCTTTTGAAAGAACCCATAATCTAGTGAAATAAAATGAACATTGTGAGCTATAGATAACCTGAAAAATGTGAGAGAATGTGATTACATGGTTGATTATGCTTGTATGACTTCTAGCTGTTTCATAGAGTATTCTTTTTTTTGCAAAATTTTAAGTTTTGGGATTTTGTCGGTTTATTTTCAGTGTTGAACCTATTGGTTTAAAAGAACCTAAGAAATAATCTGTTCTACTTAGCGTGCTAATATTTATATGGATAAATAATTACCTTTAGAATGGTGATGGTGGTGGTGGTTGTTTGGATATGTTCTCCACAGCTTCAAACGGTAGATTTTTGAGAATGTATTACACCCAGTCTTTGCATTGCATCCTATCTTATGGTAAGAATCAAGTTAAAAACAGCATATATTTAATGTTATGAATATTTAAAATAATCTGTGGCAAAATGTGATGTAAACTCTTTTCTTTGCTATATTTTATATATTTTGAGTTTTCAAAATGTGCTAAAATAAAATGCAATTATAACTTTTTGTAGGTTGGGCTCATGTGGTTTGTGCCCTGTACATTCCCGAGGTGCAGTTTGCAAATGTTTCTACAATGGAACCTATCGTGTTGCAGTCTGTTCCTCATGAGCGTTATAATAAGGTATAATTATGTGTATTTATGACTTTCATTTCTGTATATATATATATATATATATATATTGTATATATTTCTATATAAGCTAAAACCTTGTCTTTAATTTTTATGCTTGTTTGATTTAAAATTGTAAATATACCAATAAAACATTGTGTTCAATTAATACCTATATATATATAGTCGTGTTTCATTTTAATCTTGGATTTTGGGGGTTTTAATCAGAGAATTTGGGCGTGCTGGGGGGGAGGGGAGGGTTGTGTGCATTTAAATTGGTGAACTTGTGATTTTTGAACAGAGAAAACCAGGATCCCTCGTGATGAAAGTGTAGCAAATACAGTTGTTTTCTAGCTGGCACAAATTGTTGAATGTATATTTAAAGGGAAAAAAAAGACAAGTCAGACTTCCTTTGAAATGTTGTTATAGAGCTAAAAAAAGATGGTAAGTGACGAAATTGTCCTCAGCGAACCCGAACTGATGTTTTGCAATGATGTTGTCAATATGGAAATAGGAGAAAAGATAGAATTTATATATTTGACCTAAGAAGGAAGAGAAAAGACTGATCATGCAGTAATTTACTCTCCTTGTGGCGGAAATGTTGTATGAAGAGAGAACTTTTCAGGAAAATGTCTTTTGAAAGAACCCATAATCTAGTGAAATAAAATGAACATTGTGAGCTATAGATAACCTGAAAAATGTGAGAGAATGTGATTACATGGTTGATTATGCTTGTATGACTTCTAGCTGTTTCATAGAGTATTCTTTTTTTTGCAAAATTTTAAGTTTTGGGATTTTGTCGGTTTATTTTCAGTGTTGAACCTATTGGTTTAAAAGAACCTAAGAAATAATCTGTTCTACTTAGCGTGCTAATATTTATATGGATAAATAATTACCTTTAGAATGGTGATGGTGGTGGTGGTTGTTTGGATATGTTCTCCACAGCTTCAAACGGTAGATTTTTGAGAATGTATTACACCCAGTCTTTGCATTGCATCCTATCTTATGGTAAGAATCAAGTTAAAAACAGCATATATTTAATGTTATGAATATTTAAAATAATCTGTGGCAAAATGTGATGTAAACTCTTTTCTTTGCTATATTTTATATATTTTGAGTTTTCAAAATGTGCTAAAATAAAATGCAATTATAACTTTTTGTAGGTTGGGCTCATGTGGTTTGTGCCCTGTACATTCCCGAGGTGCAGTTTGCAAATGTTTCTACAATGGAACCTATCGTGTTGCAGTCTGTTCCTCATGAGCGTTATAATAAGGTATAATTATGTGTATTTATGACTTTCATTTCTGTATATATATATATATATATATATATTGTATATATTTCTATATAAGCTAAAACCTTGTCTTTAATTTTTAAGCTTGTTAAAATAAAATTTTATATATAACTTTACATTTCTAAAAAAAGAATAATTTAACTGTCATGTCATGCATCAAATTTGTTGTACAATATGCCTTGGTTTAATTTGTAAAATAGAGGATTAATTTAGACTTTATGATTGAATGTCTTTTTTTATATAATTTTTTCAAAGAGTTAATGAAGTTTATTTATTAAATTAGTCTTTACGTTAGTATGTCTTGTTCAAGTACTTTATATAACTTGAAGTATCTACTTGGGTATCTCCTTTCTTTTAAAATATGCTGCTAACCACAATGTTATTTTAATTACTCCCTGTGAAAGAGGGGATTAAGAAAGTTTGTTTTTAATGTTTTTAGCTGAAATCTTATTGCAACTAATACTACTTCAGATGCTCATGTGGCTGTTTATAAACAAGTTTATCCTCTAATTGCTAAGAGTAGAAAAATGATGTTACTCCATTAGTGCTAAATTGAGCAACCCTTACAGATATGAGTAGTACCTTTAACTTAATGCAATAAATACTCGTATAAGTAATGTTTAGTTTTATTGGACTCTGGATATTTTTTTAAATTTGTTTTTGCAGGGGTGTTTTGTTTGCTCTTGCTTCCATGCATGTTATTTTACTTAGTGTTTCAGTTGTGATGCTCTCATTTTCTATTCTTTTTTAATTTCCTCCCTCTTCGTATATTGTCCAATTTATCTTTTACATGCTACTGATAAACCGTTTTGTTTATTTCTAATTGGCATTATTGCATGCATTTTTCTTGCTCCTCTTTCATCTTCATTTGGGTTCTTTCATGTAGCTGTTTCAAGCCCTTGGGACAAAGTGAAGGATAGGGTTCCATAGAAAAGATGATGGTTTTGCATCATCTATGGCAGCCCTACTCTTTAGAGCAGTGGTGCTCAACCTATAGCCTACAGCCACAGCAATAAATGCTGCCAAACTTCTGGACCTGTGGGGAATGCTGTGGACTGGATGACCTGACATGGAACACCAGATTGTGCTCATGCATGGGGTCAGGCCATGGCTGTATCCAGTGCTTGGGGCCAGGCCAGCGTACTGAATCGCACCTGTGGACCAACCACTCATGCCAACCTTGCTCTGGATTAGGTCCATGGACTGACCTCATGCCTCGGATCCAGCCCATGAACTAGCCTGATTCCACTCATCTGGTTGACAGGGCTGGGTGGGTTGAGAACTGCTGCTTTATATAATTCACTACTACTCACATTCTTTGCTTCCTTCTGCCCCTTGCATTTTCCTTGCTTCATATCTTCTGTCCTTTATTTTAATTTTCCTTTCATAAACGCTTCTACTTTTTTCCCCATCCACATAATCTAAACATTTATTTTTTCTCTCTCTCACATTGTCCTGATCTTTGCTCCCTATGTTTTTACCCTCTTATTTACCAAAGTTTCAGAACAGCCAAGGTGTTGCACACAGCTCTTCTCTTGCCTATTCAGGGAGCTCTTCTACTAGAAGAGTAACCACAACAGCCTCTTTCTGCAATGGCAAGATTTGCTGTAGAACTTAATGTTGATGCTAAGGCATACAGTAGTATAGACTTGCTATAGAGGGTGAACAAATTTAGACCCCTCTTCTCACCAACTGTGGGTGCATCAGCCTTTCCCTGTTTTCTAAGCAGTTGTTATAGCTATTTTTTCTTTTCTTCACAGCCTCTCTGGCTGTTGAAAGCTTTGTATTCATTTAATGTTGTTTATTAAGTATTTAAAATTTTGTTTTAAAGTTGTGTGTGTATATTACTTCATTTCCATGATTGAAACTGTACATTATTTTGAGACTTTACCATTTAATTTATTTAACTTTCTCTACCTTTATCTATCAGTTTTTATCTTTTTCTTGTTGTTTGACAAATATATTTACAGATTGCTTGTTCAACTTACTTTTCTTCCAGTTACATGACATTCCTTTCTGCTAATGTTCCAGCTTGTGTGATTGGTCTGTACTACCTGAAAGCCTTTTACTCGCTAGTCATGAATGATTTGTAAATCCCAGATAAGATTCTTGTGATTATATATTTCTGGTGGTTTTTGAGCATCATGAGCAAACTCCTGGGTCATATTAAGGAGCTGCTTCTTAAGAAACCTTCTTAAGATTATTGTTATATCACCTGCATATTATATGATTGTTTTAAAAACATGGTAGGATATATTTTCTTAAGAAATTCTGAGCTTTTGTTGTTTTGTTTTCACCTTGAAAAGCTTTCAGTTATGAAAGCATCCAGTCTGTGTTAGTTTCCTGAACTACTCTTTTATTTGTTAAGGTCGATGTCAGCTGTGGCCTTTGGGGAAACACATGCTAGTTTTTTTCATTTATTAGGGCTCAGCCTTTTTATTTGAGCCAACTCTCAGGCTATGACATACACCTGAGATCTTTTTAATTATTTTTTTTAATTTGGGTTACTGCTATTGACAACTGCAACATTTTGTAAACATCTTTAACAATACTGGATTTATTTGTTAATGAATGGCAGCAGCACTGCTAACAATTAAAGTCCTGCTACTATCCAGACTATTAAACTGACTCTTTCAGTGATTTTTATAAACTGACCACTTTAAAGTACTTGTATTTAAATGTGGTAGACAGGCTCCAGAAGGTGAGTTTACTTCATAATATCTTTTTTGCAGTGTGTTCTTCACAAGAAAAATATATGGTAAGAAATGTGCCTCTTTCATACTTAGCAGTTATAAACTTTTAAAAAGAATTCTATGGCAGAATGAATGAACACAGTGCAAAACTGTTTGTATTAAGTCAAATTGTCAGCACAAATTAATTTTCATCCAGCATTGTATTTACTGTTGTTATTATTATAATCTGTAACATCATTATAGAGAGAGAAGATTTTTCTATTTTAGCAGCACTTCATTTTGTTAAGAATGCACATCATTTTCCAGATTTGTTACTGCTGTTGCAGCACTGGAAGGGGGCTACAGTGAATTCTGGGGTGGCTGTAGCCCACCCCATAGCACCCCTCCTGGCGCTGCTGCTGCTCCTCCTCCCCCAGCCTGAAAGAGCCCAGCACCACCCCTAGCCCCAGCCTGTAGCAGCAGCACACCCTCGCCCCATGCACAAATCCATGGGGCACACACCTCCCATGCCTCCCCCGGGGGTGCGCACAGCAGTGGGAGCTGCTGCCCTCTTCCTGTGCCCCCTAGATGAGCCACTCGCGTCTCCATCTGCACCCCACCCCTCCCTGCCTTGCCCCAGCTGCACAGTGCCTGCCCCAGCCCCCCATGGGGGCCTTGATCTTCCCCCCGTACCTTTTTCCCTCTCCTCCCCCCCCCAAACAGACTTACAAGCTGGACGCTGCTCTCCAGGCTGCCGGGCTGCATATTGGCAATCGGATCAATATCGGCCAATATGGCTAGTTAATTATCTGCCATTGGTATCAACCCAACAAGTCTTTTATTAGTGCGCCCTTAGTTAAAATGTATAAACTTTAATTTTAATAATAAGTGAAACAATTTTAGAGGAATTACTTGAGGGTGCTCTCTTTATTTAAAAAAATAATCAAGTTGAGTGTTCTTACACTTTTAAAATATATTTTAGCACCAATAAAAGAAAAAGTGTTTAACATTTATTAGGTAACCTGTAACTATTTCATTCTTTATTT